TTCATTGGAGATAGCCATGATGAGGGAGGAGAGAGTTTCGTACCATAAAAGAGGTAATTGAGAGATCAAAAGAAAACATTGCATTGACTGTGTTAATCATTATTTATAGAATAGTTGTCGTAGCTTTGTAGAATGCAAAAAACATATGGAAAAACAGAGGATATGAAGATATACAATGGAGACAGATAACAATGTACAGGAGTTAGTTTGAGATAAATACAATTACTTTGTATATGGTTAGTGAGCCACACGTATAGGTTAACAATCTCCCTACTTATTTGCTTTTACTAGCGGGGACCCATGGACGGGAAAATCTGAAAGATTTAATCATTTTATTTTTAATTTAATGTTGATTTATAAAAAATAATTATTATTAATTGAATATAAATAAATATTTTTTAATAAATTTAGTTTTATTAATAATTTGTAGTAATTTTAACATTTTTTATTCTTTTTATTATTTTTAAATGAAAATTTAATTAATTTTAAATAAATAAAAATAATTATAAAAGTTAACATTTTTATTAATTCAACTAATAATTAACAATTATATAGGAATGACCATGGGGTGGGTTCAGGGTAGGGCACCCCATTCCTTTCTCTGCCCAATAGTCAAGACAATCTACCCCATCCTCGCCCCGTCCCCAATGTCACGTGGGTTCAAGGCAAGGTAAACCACTCCTTAATGTTGGGCGAGTTCAGGGGCAAGGCACCCCACTCCTCATCAAGGACGGAGAATCCTCAAATTTCCTTGCTCCGTCCCCAATATTGGGTGGATTCAAATAGAGGTGAATTGGGTTGTGCTAGTTCGGCACGACACGACCCGCATGTGGCCCACACAAAGTGCGAGTCGTGTGTGCTGGCCCACGAGGCGTCCTAGGTTGTGCCTCCCTCCTCTAGGATAATTTGGGGGGGTCAGTTCGGCACGTTCCATAGCTTGAGCCCGCATAGGCCCGTGCCGTGCTGTGGGTCGGGCTGGTCCATGGGCCGGGCCATGCCGCACACCAAGCCAAGCTCAAGGCAAGGCACCCACTCCTCGTCCAAGGTTTTTAAAATTGGATTGAATAGGGAACCATTCTGGGGTTGAATGAATGACCCACTTTGACAAAAAAATAAAAAATTAGAAAAAACAAAAAAAGGCAAAAACTACTGCCCAGGTTGACGATTCGACTGCCCAGGTCAGCGGTTCGCTAACCAAATAAACGGTTTTTGGACAAAAAGCGGATTTGAGGTGAACGGTGTCAGATTCCCAATTTTTTTGGTCTAACCATCCGCTTTGATCCAGTTTTGAAAACGCCATCCCCATCAACCCAATATTCAATTTGGTGATAGAAATGATCAAAAGGATATATTGAGTATCAACCACATGGTAAATTTCTAAAAAGTACATTAAATTGTCTTTAATATTCAAAAATGTAAATTTATGAAAATTTTAGAAAATTTATTGTACTTATGTAATTTTGAAAATTTATTCGAATTTATTTAAATTTTTATTAAATAATTTATTTTCTTTTTAAATGGTTTACTTACAGAATTATACTAATTTATCTTATAATTTTTAATATAAACTAACCAATAATTTCCTTTTACCAATATTATACTAATTTATCTTAATAATTTGTGTAATTAGTTGTTCAAATTATAGTTTTCCATTCCCATAGTCATTTATATTTAATAATTTTCAATAATTTGCAATGAAAATTATGTACTTTTTAAATGGTTTTCCAAAATCTATCAAATGTAATAAATTTTCCTAAAATTTCCAAAATATTCTAATAATTTTCAATAATTATTTAATGCATTTGAAATAAACTTTCAAATATTTTATATCTTTTAATTTCAAAAATGTTATTTCACGAAAATGTAGTTTTATGGAAATTTTTGAAAAATATATTACATTTGTGTAACTATGGGGATTTATTGAAACTTTTTTTAATTGTCATTAAACATATTTTTTTATTTGGTTGTTTACTAACAAAATTACACTAATTTATCTTTTATTTTT